GGGTGCTTACGGAGGCCGTGCTGATGCTCAATTGATGGGTGTTACTGGATAAAAGCCAAGGGTTTTCTAATACCTTGCAAGGTATGTGCAGTCATGCTCAGTGCCTCAAACTGCTGTTTTTCCTTTTCTGGGCAAGGCACTTCTGTTACATCAGAAATCTATGTGAGGATGGAGTCCAAAAAAAAAAGTACTTAGAGAAGGTGGTTTTGAGTGTTCTGTAGAAGTGACTCACGGAGAAGAACTAAGTTCCCATAATTTTTGTATCTAAAATTTCACATCACTCATTCTTCCTCAGAACAACTCAATTTTTCTCACTGCAAGCCACTAAGAAAATGGGCCATATGCAAGCCTTTTATTTCATTTGATATCATGGTGTACCTCTGAAATCCGAAAAGATTAAAAAATCCAGATGTTTAGTTTTTGGATGAATGTTTGTTTACTTCATCTCCTCTTCTCCTATTTAGTTTCCCCAAAACCACACATTAATATCAGTTAAAGTGATATCATGCTGTTAATCATGTCTTAAAAAATACAGGAGAAAAAAAAAGAAGTTTAAAAATATTGCTGGATATAGAGGCATGGAAAGACATGGAAGATACTTAACTTACTCATCTAGGAAAAGTGGTTTGGAGCTGTAGACTTCACTTTAGGTTGAACTTTTGTAGTGATGAATACAGAAGCCTGGGAAGTGTGTCGAAGTTGAAGTCTGGTCAGTAAATGAGTTAATGCTAGTTTGCATCAACTGGTTTTCAGAGAGGTGAGTCAGCCTCAGTAACAAGATGAAGGTAGGGGCTCTTTCAGTTACACATTGGAGAGATGACTTGCTTGATGTTTTGGAATAAGGAATGTAACTTGGAAACTGGTGATGTATCACATATGACACGAGGATGAGGCAGCGTACAGCCCATAGGGATTACGATATGTTGCTGTGCATATGCAGAGTTGCTCCTTTTAAAACAGCAGGATGCAGCTATATCTAGAAAAGTCAAAAAGGATCATGTTAATTCTCAGAACTACAGACTTGGGAGAGCACTAAAAAGTATATAAAGATTATTAATTCACTGAGCTGTAAGAATATCTGAATCAAGAAAGCGCAAGCAGTCTTTCAACCTAAGCGCTGTCTCCTCCTTTCATAAGAATTTGGCATCTGGCTCTGAACCACCTTTGAGAAATAAGTTTTTTCTTTTTTCTTTTTTTTTTTTTTTGCCTACTTCTGAACACGTGTTTAGACTTGAATTATCAAAGCAAATACGCAGTAACCTGATTCTGAGCACAGCTGATCTTTGAATGGCTGGTCTGTGTACCACATGAAAGAAGTCATTTACAACCCCAAAAGCTTATTTTATTTTGACCTCTGTTTCAAGTGAAAGATCTTTCCTATTTATCAGTCCAGTAAATCATACCTGATTAGAATGAACTTTCTAGGTAGTTTAATTTGCTCCTTCAACAAAGAACATTCAATAAAAGAAGTGTTCTCTGTTTCTAATACTTTCGGTCATAATCACGCACGGCATTAATTGCACCTCTGTGAAAAGCAGTGAAGTCTGTAAGCTACAATTTTGGGAATATGTGAAGTCATCTGTGGGAAAAGAAAGAGGAGATGCTTAATTTAAGTTTCTGGTGTCTATCCTTCATTGCTAGAGTTCGTGTAGAAATCCGCAGCAACCTGATTCTCTCCCAGTTTATAGACAGACATAAATTTGTCTGCCAGGTGTTTAGCAGATCAGCATTAACATGCTCACAAAATCCCTCACAAAGTGGGGAGCTGTGGTTGTAGGAAACAAACTTTGTATCGTGCTCATTTTCACACTGGTGGGTAGTCTGACGAGCATCGTAAGGGACAAAATGTGTTGAGGTACAATGGAATATACCTTCCTTCCATGGACTGAAGCTGCTATTTCATAATACTTCTTTTGAAAGATGCTGGTGTTGCCTATTAATTTATTAGTGAGCGAATATTAATCACAGTTTTTTAGAAACTATCGACTTTTACTGAACATAGCAAAATACGTCTTTCTTTAATCTGGGCTCTGTGCAAGACCTCAAGAAAATTACTATTAAACACAAGAACTGTTTCCTTTAACTTCTCCCCTTAAAGTCCTATTTATCTTTATTTTATAGTAAATAAGGTCTAGTTGTGTTTTGTTTGTTTTTAAGAATAAATGTATTCTAAGCCAAAAAAAAGAAACTAAACGCATACGTGTTAAAAATCCCATATTGTTGGAAGGTGGCTGAAAATACGGCAGATGACCTTAAGTCAACAGTGATTTTGTAACTGGACTTGGACTTACTTTATGCTGTCTTTTTTGTCCCAGATCTTTCAGGACCACAGTCTCTTAGTTCCCAAATCAGATATCCCAGCTGAATGATACAGATTATTGACATTAAAAACACTGAACCATCAAAACAAAGTTAACGATTCTTATACAAATGCTGATTTTATTTACTTGATCTCTGAGTGAGGGATATTCTTTGAGTATTTTGCCTCTGTAGCTATGTTTCTTTATAGATTCAAACCTAAGCATAGGAAACACATCTATCTTTTGGAGCCCCAGAAGTGCACCATTCTTAGGAACATACATCTAATATTTCATATCTGTTTTTTTATCAACTGTGCTACTCCCACTAAAACCAAAAAAAAAAAAAAACTCTTTATATTACAAAGCTGGAAGATGTTCTAGAGAAAACAGCAATGTCAGTGCAAGTACATACATTTTAAAGATAAGGATGCCACAGAAAGAAAAGCAGTCTTGAGGCAATTCGGGATCATTCTGTTCTGAGCATTAGCAAAATTCTAGGCAATTTGTATAAAATTTTGAATGAATTACTTCTAGAAAATACTTCTACTACTTCTAGCTTCTATAAATGATGCTCTCACTGTTTGTAAAATGCAGTCATGCCCTAATCATGGAGGCAAGCCCTAGTCATGTCCTAGTCATGGAGGCAAGATGAAGAACTTTGTTACCTACAGTTTAAGAGACATATGAAAATACTGTCCCTTTTTAATACAAAACTTATTTTCATATGCATTTCTACAAATATTCCTTACTGTTAAGATGTACAGAAACAAGATTTTTTTGAATTTAGCATTCACTGTCCTCATATAGCTCGCTCTCAATGCAATGTGTGAAAACAGCATTTCCTTTTGAGTTACTTTCTACAACAATTTTTTTAAGGTAATTCAGTAAGATATTGTCTTTTGGTGTGTCAAGAATTTAAGAGATTTTATAAATGAATGCTTTATATGTTAGTATCAATAACCTCTTCCATATGGTCAAAATATTTACACACTTGAACATCCATAGATCATCATTTTAGTATTTTTAAACTGCTATAATCTGAAAAATATTAATATTCAGATGTATATTTCTACATTTACAAAGGTTAATAAAGGCCAGGGTAAAATCTTAATCTAGATTTAAATTCGTTAAAAATATTCATCCTCTTCCACACTGTTTCTACCACAATGATTTCTTATATTTTTCTTCATAAGTCATTAGCGTACCTGGCCGTTACCAATACCAGCATTTGCCATTGGAATTCAGCTTTTTCTCTGCTGAGTTTGGGAGGATAAATTAAACTTTATTGCATATTTTTTACTATGAATTGGGCAGACACCAGAAAGAGTTTGAGCCTCTAATAATTTGGTTATATTTCTTAGTAAATTGCTATGATATTCTGTGTATCAGTTTTCTGTACAGCTTCTCAGCACAGAAGATACTAAAGAGTAGAACAAAAGGAAGTGGTAAATTACAGACAGTTTATGCCATTCATTTTATTTATGAGCAACATGCTTTGATCATTTTTTTTACCATGTGTCCAAAAAGAAAGAATATTCAAAGCTTTATTTGACAGTAAATGTATTCCAGAATTGGCGTGTTTTGTAGAAATCATTAAGCAGCTAATCTGTGTATTTGTGTTGGATGTATTCTGCACTGCGTATGGATAAATCTAGTGAAATTAGTAAGATTAATGAATGTTTTGAAAGTCTGGCACGTCCTATGAAGTGTTGCTTCCTACATAATGTTGAAGATTCCTCCCAGCAAGCATTTTGTGAAATATCTGAATAGAAAATAAGCATGAGAAGAGTTTTAAGTCAATTCATTTTTACAATGTAAAGTAATTAAGATAATTACTTTTAATACTCAGCCACCTTGATAATCTATTTCACCTCTTAATATCTTTGTTTTATCCTAATATGTATGTATGTTTAATGTAATTTCTTAGTATTCCTAAAAATGTAGGTAGGTATTCCTAAAAATGTAATGTAGACATGGTATTTTACATCACTGTAGCCTTTGAAAATCTTTAATGCAGTTTTGATTCTCATTTCTGTATTTCCTGCACTTTTTCACTGCAGGACATCAACTTTTTCGGTATTGTAAAATGACTGATTTGGGTCAGAATTGTTCTAAAGTACAAATTATGTCAAAAGAATGAAGAGTCTCATGATCTGATTTTTGCTAAGCAGCTATATTTACAGCAATTAAAATACTGTTACAGAACTATTGCTGCAGTGTGCAGCTTGTGTAGAATAAATGAAACTTCATGCAATCTTGTGCCCTATTTGTCAGATTCCAAAAGATCAACTTAATTTGTGTGGAGTGAGAAACATTTCTTTTGCCAACCTGTTATTATTCAGTGGTTTGTTTTGGTCCAAAGACAAGTGACGCTGTGAACCTTTTCTGGAGACCCATGATCTCTGAAGTCTCTATAGGTCTGTGTGTAAATGTGGCGAGAAGGACGACATATAGAATTCAAACAGCTGTGTTCAGTTCTCTTTTATATTAATCTGTGACCAGCCTTTTAAATTAGATATGTTGAGGAAAAACTTAATTCTATGTGAGATTATACGAGTCATCTTGAGAACCCGGTTAACTCATTTATTTCTAAGATAGTGCGTTATTTTTTTACCTCTCAGATTGCCACTGGAGAATGTGGGAATGGACATCCCCATTGCTGAGGGTGTATTAAGCCCAAGTTCTACAGAAATGAGACCTGGTAAGAAAAGTACTTCTTATTTTAATTATATCTTCTTCCCTTGGCATTTAATTATGCAGTGGGATGTTTCTGTGCTGGTAAGGAATCAATGTTAAAAAGAAAAAGTGTTAAATTTGCTTTAGTTAATTCTGTTCTTCACTTGACAAGTGATAATTGTAGTGTGCCATCTGTTTTCTCTTGTGAATTGTTTTCATCCTTTAGTTCTTGTGATGTTTAAGTAGTCTTGCTTATCTTATATTTGACTACAGTGTTAGCGTCTTAGTGAACTGAACTAACATTAGAGTATATAAATTCAGCAGAACAGCTTAAAAAGCAGCACACAAATGCAGCAGCAAGTGGCAAAACCACACTTTTGTTTTATTGAAGATTACTTTTGCTTAAGACCAATTATGAAACTCAAAGCTATTTTTATGATTATATTGAATATCATATCGTCTAATTAAGACTGAAGAAATAGGGTTCTACTTGTAAGTGAACATCACTGGAATAGCAGCAAATGCACAACAAATCTGATACTTAGCAGGATCATTTCACTTGTATGTATTTCTCCCACATTTGGCAATGTGCCGTTTCAAAGCTTGACTGACTTGCTCTTTAAACACTCAAGCATTGTTGTTCAAAAGCATTTCTTAAATTTTTTTTTGGCTGACAATTATAAAAATACACAGTCTGCTGCATAATTTAAGAGCTTTCAGCTAAATCTTCTGTTTCTGTAGATGTTTCTTTTATTTTTTTTAAATGCTAATGTGTGATTTTAATGTTTTGTGTCACTTTCCTGTAAATGGCTTGCTATTCCTAAAATTGCTCTGTTCCAGTATATTTGAAGGTGATTTTGAAGTATTCGGAAGATGAGTGGTAGGCAGAGGAGATAATGTTCATTTTTCATCCTCCTTTTTTAGAACCTCCCAATTCTCTTGATCTGAATGGCTCCCATCCCAGAAGAATAAAGCTCACAGCTCCAAATATCAATCTGTGTTTGGACCAGAGTGAAGGATCAGTACTTTCTGATGATAATTTAGATACCCCAGATGGAATTGACATCAATGTAGATGACCTTGACACTCCTGATGAAGCAGATTCTTTTGAATACAGTGGACAAGGTATTATGTTCTAGTAAAATATGCATTGTCTATATTTAAGACAGACAATGGAAAGAAGCATCCATTCAAGTTCCGTCCTGTATGGTTCACGTGATCAGGCTGTTCAGGCTCATATTTGCCATCCCATGAGTATAGATAATACATTTTAGGTATAATGTGGGGTTTTCAGATGTATTTTCTGCTATTTTAGATCTTTTTACCCCTTACAAAGTAATATATTTCTACTTATGCAATTTCCAGAAAAAAAAAAAAGAAAGAAATGTAGCTGATCTTCTGATCAGAAAAATTAAGAAGAGCTATTTAGAAAGGTTCAAACTTCGGAGTGTCTGACCAGTAGAAATCATAGGACTTGCCTGAAAAGAATCTTTCAGGAAAGAGGAAAGGAGTGCTGTCTGAGGAGTGCCTATGGAGAACACCAGAGCTAAATGCATCTTTGGAGACCAGCGCTGGGTTATGGTGACAGTAGTAGAACTTTGGGATAAAGTTCTGTACGAAGTAGAAAGGCAGAACTGAAAGATCTTATCCCAAAGCATCTCTTCTCACTATTTCTCTAGATTTTGCTTTGAATGTAATTGCTTTATACTGATTAGTAATTCCAGGTGCTATTTGTATACTATTTTTTTTTTCATAATGACTAAATGCACCCAGCCACCCTGGACAAAAAATGCACTAAAGAGCTTGTGGTAAATAAACAAACTGGTTACAGCTTGAGAAGTATCTTGTTATTCCTGTATATGGTTGGAAACCTGAGATGTGGAAGTTATGCCTGTGTGACGTAACACTGGCTTGTTCAGGTCATGGAATGAAATAATGTGGCCTTCTGCCAAATTAAATAACCCCTCTTAACAGGCCTAGTTGCTTGGTACCGATAAACCTTGAAGAATGCAACTTGTCTTGCATCAAACGAACCACAGATGCTGTACTTTACTTGGCATCTTAACCTTGAGGTTATTTTTATTTGACTAATTCAATCTCATGATTAATGTAATAAGGAAATAATACTCTTTTCTTGCTAGCAACTGAAAGACTGTATAGGAATTGTATTTACTACTGTAAACACATAAAGATTATAAGCCATTTGTGGGGGAAAAAATGAGCGTGACCGTTATATAGTCTACAGTAGGGAGTAACAGAAAAATAGATATATTTAAACCAAATTTTGCCTTGCATTTAAATTCTCTACTGCTAATGAAATTCTCTACTACTAGTGAGGTCATTATAAATTAAAAAAGTACAATCTTTTGAGCATACAAGAACAATTGCATCAGCTTAAATGATATTGCTAAAGAGGCATTACTGTGTACTCAGTCATGCATAAGCATCTTTAATGTCACTTCTCATTAGAAGGCAGAGTTCCTCACGGGCAGATACAGAGCATGATGATGAGTTACTAAATGGTTGGAATGTTTTGTAGAAAAGGTTAAAACTAATGTGCGTGCATGCACACTCACTCACAGACTCGCAGAATGGCTGAGATTGGAAGGGACCTCGAGGGATCATCCAGTTCAACCCCCTGCTCCAGCAGGGACACCCAGAGCACTGCTCATACACGCAGAATAGTGTGTGCTTGCAATTTTAGAATATTATGGCCATTGTGTGAGAGCGAAAAGCTCTGCAGTGGATCAGGTTTTTGCCTCTAAGCCCTGAAGTAAATAAATTCAGCTCCAGTGACTTTGGTGACAACTGCATTTATGGTAAGCATTTTCCCATGTCTGTTTTTGTTGCTTTGTAAATGCAGTATTTCATTTGATTAGTAAAATTGGATTACTAAAAAGTTTCCCAAAATACCTAGAAGAAAAAAAAAAAAAAGAATTCAAGATGCCCGAACATTTTTACCATTGTATTTAGGTTGTTCTTGAAACACAGTTAGTTGCCAGAGTCCTCTGTTCAGGTGAGTCAGCAACAAAAGTGGGAAAGGAGAAAAACAAAAATTAAAGAAGGTTGTCAATAAAGTAGGCTATATATTGTGTGGACCTGATAATCATGAAGACAAGTGTAGTCACCAGTTCAGTGCAGAATGGGTTATGTGCGTGGTAAGTTAGCCCGTGTTATCTCCATACTTTGTCACTCTGCTGTTGCCATTGCACAAGCAATTTCATAATCTCGCACTAGTCAGTGTTTCTGGAGTTCTGTAGCACACCCAGTGAAGTAAATACATTGCTGTCAAGACTGTACAGAATGGTGATTATTTAGCTTGTAACCCTCAGGCTACAGAAGTTCATTTGAGCTGTAAAAAGAAACTGTTTAAATCTGCAATTTAAAGCAACTGCAAAAAGCAAGATTTGTGCTGTGATTCTAGAGTCTCATCACTAGAAAAATGATGACCATGTAAATCAAAAATGCCCTGAAACTTAAGTTAAAAAATAATGCAGTTGTTGCAATTCTTCATCAATAAAGTACAAGAAAATGGCCGCACATTTCCGCTCTTATGAGTGGAAAATACAAAAGTAGTTGTCTTAAACTATTTTCACATTTAGAATTAGTATTTTGTCTCTGTTGCATGCACTAATCTCTCAAATTGAAACATTCTCTTTCACTATCAGCTCATGTTTCTGAAGTGAGCTTTTCGCAATTGTGCATTACATGACAAGAAAAACTGCATTTATCAAAAATGATATTATAGATAAGTGAAGTTCCTCCCTCACACCAGTCTTAAAAAGTACTGTTTATTTTGTCTGCAGATGCTTGATTCCCGTGTGAATTTCACAGTAGTGCATCCAAGCAGTATAGCATAATTACTTTTTAGGAGAAGACGATCTAGTATCATTCTGCACTTCATCAGCTTCAGAAATAATTTGTGTGGCTGGTTGGAACATCCTGAGTTTTTCTGAGGGCCTTATTCTAGAACATCATTTGCAGTTTCAGCAAATTTGAGCAGCAATGCCCCATATGCAATGTCGTCTGAGACTTACCTAACCCAGACTCTTTTCACTAAAGCTAATCTGCCTGCTGTTGTTTTCCCCTTCGAGCATGCTCTTTCAACCCCCAAAGGAAGAACTAGCTGACTAGTTTTGCTAGACTTTTCTAATAACCTCATATTGAAACCTTTTAACTGTTCTGAAAGCATTTGAACTGTGTAATACAGGACTATGAGGATCATACAACCTTAAAAGAATAGAGATTCTCTGGGAACTTGTCAAAGGTTTCATAGTTCAGTTGCTTGTATGCAATTTTCATATTTTGACAGTATTTTACAAGATTAGCTTGCACAATTTATAAAATATATATTTAAAAATGAACTTAAAGTCATTGCAAACATCACTGAATATGTTCTATTTGAAAAGTAAATGCCAAGTAGATTATTAATATTTTAAGCCTTGTATCCTCCAAACATATGAAAACATACCTCAGTAGATTATGTTGTGTTCAACTGAACAGCATCTGTTAAAATGATCTGAATTAGTATATTTGAAATATATATACCTTTTGCAGTCTATTCTTCATAATCATCTATCTCCTCCACCTTTCTTTGATTTGCATTCCCTAAGGGAAATAAAGGTTCGTATGGCTCTTTCATAGACTCATGTGTATGTGCATCTTAGCCTGTCCTTTCCATCTCTATTTCCACCATTAATACGTTTTAATACGTTTTGACAGTAGTGCATTTACAACTCACTGCCTGGTTTCTATCAAATTTGGTAGGAGCTGAAATGCAAGTACGTTCTTGTGAGTTTCCAGCAGACAGGCAGTAGGAAAAGAAGAAAATTCAGCTCTTATTACACAACAGATAATTCACCTGTGAGAAAGTGAATTTTCATCGGAATGTGCCTCTTATTAAGAGCAGAGCATACAGCCACAAGTCAGGTGTCAGAGAAAACCAGATCTCATTAGCCCTATTGTCACAGAACCACTTGTTTCCTCTTCTATTTTTTTATTCCCCATTCCTGTTTTCTATTTGCTACTGTTTATGAGACTTGCAGGCATTTTCTGAGATTGTGTTAGAAACAGTTGAATGTTTTTCCTTATTCAGGCATGACTGTTGCTTGAAGGTGTTTTTGACCTTGATATATGAACCAAAATACAAGTGTGTGCTCAGCCTAATGCTTACTAAAAAAAAAAAAAAAAAGTTCAAAGTATGCTTTTATCCTATTGAGCTTGTTATTCATCAGAATTTAATTGGAAATATGTGTGTGTATATGTATGATACAATATACACATCTGTTCCTGGTTTCATATGGATGAATATTTTAGTTTGTATGATAAACTTCTATGTTTTATTGATCATGTACCTCTGTTTATGCAAGCAATTCAAGAAGAGCGTTAATTAGAGCAGAGAAATCCCAGGATAAAGAAATATGTGGAAAAAAATTGAGAACTTTAAAAAACATACTATGTTCTTTTCTTCTTTTCCCAATTGAAATTTTTTCTTTCTTTTATTCTGAACTCTTTCTACTGCTTCTTTTGGTATTTTTAACTGAAACATCTGATCTACTTTTTATATATGCCATGCACATCTATGTCTGCTGTGCATGCATGTTATCTCATTTCATGATCAAATTCTGCTCTTATGTATGTCCTTGCAGATCCTGAGTAATGCTATAAAAGAATAAATTACTTCACTGCTTGCTTCAATTATATATAATACAGGAAATATGTAGGATCTTTACAATCAAGATGTAATAATAGTAATATGTGAACTTAACCACAAGGCAAGGGTGCTCCAGGAAGAGAAATAGTGCAAAGGATGGGAGTAAAAATCACAAAAAGAATAGTATGTTTTATTTAATAACTAAAAAAGAAAATGAAGTAATACTGACTGTGGACAGAATCAGTCTTAATGACACCTCTTATGTAACTAGCCATTAAGTTTAATTAAGTGGAATGCGGTAAAACATGTTGTAATTGCTGTCTCATCAATGTGCAATGAAACTGTAGGTTCTGTTAATACTTTACAGCTTTTCCAAAGCTAAGAGTGTCCAGCAGAGAACCTGTGCTATGAGACTGCTTAGTCTTTTAAGAATCGTGCAGTTTGTTGATTGTGGTCACTGGCGTTGTGGACTCCTGTACCCGTTCCTCATGTGCTGGTATAAACAGCCAAATTGTGTGAATGGTCTGTACTTTGTAACTGGAAAGGAACTGATGTTTAAACACGACTGGAAGGCCCAGATGGAGGTGATTTCCATGTTTAAGATATCCAGTGTGTATTTAAGCATACCCTACGGCTGGAACAGCTGAACATGCATGTTCTTCACAATTGCTGGTAGCAGATACAAAAGGAACAGAGAAGAGAAGCTGGAGAAGGGAGAAAGGAATTGTAATATTGTAGCTTGTGGGTATTCTCTTATTAGACAGTAGGGATCATTTAGCTCCATGCTTTGCATTTTAGTACAGTTACCATACAGTTACCATGCACATTTTTTTTTAAGGAGCTACAAGGCGTTTTGTGTGATTACCAGAAAAAATGCAAAATTCCTTGAGCAGTATTCTGCATAGTTATGAATGTTGCTGTTGTTATTATGTTCATAAAGATGATAAACTTTTCTTAAAAAAAAAAAGAAAAGAAAAAAAAGACTACTCCTTTCATATTCTCATTCTGCTCTTATTTGCCACTGTGCAGATCCAGAATAGCACTCTGAAAAGCCATTTGATTTCAATTATCTATTTAAAATGTGTTTAACAGGAAAATATACAGAGAATTTGCACGAAGATTTAATATATGCAATTTTATTTTTCAGAACACCAGGCAGTCCTTAAGGATGCTTCCCATGAGGCATCTGAATCAATTCCAGAATACACTGCTGAAGAGGAAAGAGAGGACAACAGGTTGTGGAGAACAGTGGTTATTGGAGAACAAGAGCAAAGGATTGATATGAAAGTCATTGAACCTTACAGAAAGGTCATTTCGCATGGAGGTAGGAAAGCCCTGAGTGCATTTTTTTGATTGAAGTGAAAAATTGTGCTTTAGTTAGCATACTGGTAGGGAGAAATAGTGTATTTTTCAGACAGGCCTATAAGCAAAGAGTTGACTGACTGTAATTACAGAAGCATTATAGTGTCTTAGAGCCCATGTTTATACCTATTAGCAAGAGAATATCATGGTAGAAAGAGTACCAATAAACTACTGGCATTTCCCTAATCTAAGCCATTCCTAGATGTTTTCAGTTTGTTTATAGGATGCTGGATTATAAGAATATATTTTGAGCAGATAGTTAGGACTCTTAAGAAGCCTTCAAAAGAATAGAAGCTGGAGTCATCTACTGGAGCCTCGTAGAAGAGTGTTTTCAGAAAAACAGTGCTTGCCCTTGCATCAGGACAAGTCTTTCCTGTTTTGTTAGGAAATCAGCCAGTGTTGGAGGTGTAAACTGTACTTTTCTGTAGTGGCTTCTGTACCCATAGGAGTGGTGACATGGAGGGACTTGCTGTAATCTTAACAGATAGACCATTCTCTTGTCTGTAAATTCAGTGTAGTGCTAAATTATATTTGGAAGAGAAAAGAAAGTCTTAATTTGAATTCACTTACTGTGTCTTTAAGGACACCAGTGAAGCAAACTGAGTTCATCTGAAGTAAAAACGTAGAAGAAAAATACAAATGAACCAACCCTGTTTTCAGTTCCAGGTGGCAAAGAGTAATGAATACTTTGAATGCAACACTTTTTTGGCAGTAACAAGTAAACTAAGATAGATGTGTTAGTAATAATCTGGTAATTGTACTCTAAAACTTATTTTGAGCAGGGAAAAACCCTTTTGTTGTATAGAGAAAGTTCTTGAAAACTCCATGTTCTAGATTGTGACTAAAACTTCCTGCACGATGAAGTATGGTGCTCTGTGAAGTGTTGCATGCTGCTAAGGGATTCACAGTTCCAAACAGGAGTGGTTAAAGAAAAAATGTAGTTTTCCTTGAGGCCTCCATTCCATGCTCCTGCAATTAAGTTACCTAAGTTATTTCCTGACATTTATAATTATCAGTATGTAGACTTTCACCAGCAATTTCTTCATGCAGCTTCATTTAATTTTGTTAGTAATTATCAAATGGTATCAAATGTAACATTTATTTTGAAGTAGAAAAAAATCCTCATATCCTATTTATATTATGTTCTTAACTCCTCTATTTGCTCTGTTAGTGCTCTAATTTCCCCAGAGAATGTGTAGTTCAGGTATTACTAAGGTACTTACATGTAAATTACTTCAAATGGATAATATCACCGTTATTCATTATGAAAAATGAGTATCAGAAAGTTTAAGTGGATGGAGATGTAATTCTTAATGAAGCACTACTTGGCTGTTGAAAAAAGATCAGTTCCAGTACCAACTTCAGGACTTTCTGATGCTAATGATAAGGACACAAGAACCCATGGGAGCATATGTCACTCAGTTTGTTCCTCAGTGTGAAACAATCAGAATTCGAATTTAGGTCTTCATGATAAGCAAGTGTACTCTAAATCTTCTAGTCACCACTCAGACTTCCGTGACCAGTTCCTCATTACATTGTCTCTGCTGTCCATGAATGCAATTCAATTCCGCAGTTATGGTAGAAAGAAGGGCTTAATTTCAGTGAAAATGTATCTGTAATGAGGACCGTTGTCAGAGGTGTGAATTATACTGATTTAATGTTTACATTCAATTCTATGATTTATCCTGTTCTTGAATGAAATAATTAAATTAGGTTGTTGAACCTGTCAAATTAACAAAACATAAATGGTTGTGCCTAGAGTTTGTGACCATTGCTTTTCAAGGAAGTGGTCACTCAGTTCTTTTGGAAATGGTAGCCTTTTCATTTGGAGCAATGAGTCTATAGTAATCCCATTCTGTACACTTCCTGCTTCCCAAGGTATCTCATGCTAAGATATAAAGGCATGTATTTAGCACCACTGGTAAAAACATTTGTATTAACTTTCTATTTTTTGAGTGTGTTGTGTGCCTGGTTTTTATTTGTCTGACATCTTGTTTTGTTAGATAAGAAAGTTCAAAAATCTATGGGCAAAAATTTATGAAGAATCACTCAAATATGAGATAAAGAACATTAGACTACCTTTGCCTTCACGTGACTCTTGTCAGTAACTTAGCTGTTGTAAAAAGAAACTCTGAAATGTAAGAGTAAATTCCAGACCTCCACTGGTTGCCGTTTCTTCTTCATAAAGGCTTTCTTCTTCATAAAGGCTTCTCCTTTATGATGATCTCTTTGGCTATACTTCAGTATTTTTGGATCATTTTAGAGGGCCAGAAATCTTTCCTATCACCTCAATATTAAGCAAAGATTTTGCCTAAAATAAGTTACTTGATCAGATCTGCCATCCCTTGAGGATTCAATGATATATTGAACATTTGTTCCTGAAAAATAGTAGGTAATGTTTGTTTCAGAATCTAGATAGTAACTACAAAATAGAAAAGAGGAAGAGGGAAAGCTTGCCAGTCCGGGTGTGAGATTTCCTTCCACATATGTCAATGGAGAAATTTCTCAGTCATCTGTCTCTTTGTGCAGCCTGGGAATTTAGGCAAATGACTGTTAATAGCTTCTAGTGATGATTTAAAAAGCACCTCTCCCTTGGGTGAACATTCCTTGTCTACAGGCAGGTGTATGAAAAGGTGGTTTAAATTGATCTGTTGATTGATTTTTCTTGTGTGCACTGATAGAACAGTGGCAACTGCACATAATTATTTTGCTTTACAAATGCAAAGTGGGCTGTGTAGTTTTGTGGACACACCTGCTGCAGTGTGTTCCTGCTGCCAGACACCTGAGCCAGTTGGAAGGGCTGCCTTATGACAGCAGGATGTTAGTTGCCCTGAAAATCTCTTAGGGGCTTCTACTTAAAATTTTATATAATGATGGAAGTCCCCCTACCTACTTGAAAAGCAGAGAAAAAAAAACTGCTGTCTTATTACCTAATGATTTAGCTCAGCAATTAGCTAGGATGGGATAGGGGAACTTAACACCATCTCTCTGGAAATGTGCATGTCTAACTGATAAGACCAGCTATATTAGAGAGTAAAATAAAGTGGTGAGGGTGGGAGGTGGGGACTGGAGTTTCTTCCCCCAT